TAATTGAAATTTTTTTCCTAGGACTCTTTTCATAATTTTTTTTCAGCTATTCATTTTTGATAAGAACAAAGGTTTTATAATTTACAAAAGAGTGCTTGACCTATAATTACTAGGAGGAAATTAGGGGAGGTAGAAAAGTCAGATTTAGTCCTGGTAATGATGCTAGAGACCTTGCTCCCTCTAGGGAGTCTGAAGAATAATGGAATCTTCTATTTTTACGGGCGACCTGTGCACTGGTGCTGACTCTGACTGTGAATCCACTTTACCTTGCAGATCACTTGCTTAACACTAAAAGTGCCAACAGAATCACAGGCCATTATTCCAAATGTCATTCTGTGCCAATGCCATTTCCAAATGCCCTTCCCTCCAAATGAATGAATCAAAGAACATCTGCCAGTCCTCTTATCTTGTCCTTGTGCATTTTCCCTTGTAGGAGTTGTACACAAAGTAATCAGTGATCAATTTGGGCAAGAAGGGATATTAGTAAGAGTTTTACTTTTTAAAAATAGTGCTAACATGCTTCTTTAAGAAAAAGTTATAGAGCCTGAGTCTTTCTAGAGAGAACTGGTTTTAGAAGGTACTTCCTTTTGTATAGTGTCAAAGGCGTTTTTTCTTCGTTGTCTCCCTTTGCATATTTGACTCTTCCTGCATTTAGAGAAGACAAACTGTAGAATATGAACCTGGTTCTCTAACTTCCAGACTGGATGCCCTTATTCTTGACTGATATTTCCAAGTTAAGGTTAAAATTTAAACTACAGAAAAAATATACAGATTACAGCTATACCTTCTGTTTTGTATTCATGAATTACACATTTAACCTGGTCCAGAAGTCCATCTTGTCATTAAATTTTAGAAAGACATAGAAAATCTGTTTACAGTATGTCATAAAAAACAAAAATTACCCCAGCAAACACTTTGAATACTTAGCTCTTCTGAAAGTCAAGGCTCTTTAAAATCTATGCCTGAAATTTTTGCTCCGAATCTTTAAAAAGCTAACAGTTAACTAAAAAAATACATAATGTGTAAACCTCCTCTCTATTCATTTTTTGTCTGCTTTGTTAACTAACAAAGTTTATTGATAGATCTGCTGAGGAAGAAAAAGGCACAAAAAGTGGCTATATTTGATTCTGACCCATTACAAAAATCAATACTTGCCAAACAGAGAGACATAAAAGTAGGTGAAAAAGGACTGGGTCTTCCGAATCTATTTTTTAGAAAGCAGCTGCTGTAGTTTTTCAGATCAATATCAGCTTATTTAAACTTTTATATACTAGTGTTTGAGGAGAAAATTAACATATTTTATCTATGTTGTTGATTAACTCTGTGAATTACCATTTTCTGTGCTTGGATAAAATCCAGATTATGCCATAGAGATGTATGTTGAACAAACAGAAAATATTTCCTTAAAATGTACAGAAAAATCATCAGATTAATACAGTTATTATCATCATGATGATGATAACTATTATTAAAGCCATGTGGGTTCCTCAGCCTGGTGATGGATACCATATCCCCTTAGTGTAAATACAGCACAGGAAGTGAAATTCTTCTTTCCCATAACCACAGACACCTCCATGCAATTTTGGAGTGACCTGTAATGATTTTTAGGGGACCCTTCACTTTCCAGCCCTAGTCCTAGAGTTTGCAGCAAAGGCTGTCCAAAAAGTTCCTAGCTGTGTAGATTAGTTTTGAACTAGTATCATTTATCCACCTGATGAGAATTTTTTCCATTACTAATCTCTTGAATCACTTTGACACCTCAGCATCTATGTGCAGTGATACAGCTAATAAATCCCAAGTTTGTAAACTACTAGATAAGCATTATGGAGCCGTTATTAAAAACTTAAGGGAAGTTTGAGAGTCTTTTCTTGCTTGTTATTTTTTCATGTTGTCCTAAAAGAATACTTCTGAAGAGGAAATTTACCCCCAAGTATCAGGTATTTTCTATAAAATTACTGGAGAAGCCCTTCCTTCTAGACCAAGCTATTTTGTAGTTCAACCATAAAGCTCTAATGTTTATTTTATTGAAAAGATACCAACTAGTTCATGATAATGGTAATTATGGCCTTAAAATCTGATTTTTAACCTGTTTCAAAGATGAAAGTTAAACATTGTGCTGTGAGATCAATATAGTTAGACATGTTAAGAAAGTATAAATATTTCTAGCAATTGAATACCTCTAATATAGCTTTGTTTGCTAAGTATTCCCCCTTTTACATCATATTCCATTATATGAGAGAGGATTTTTTGTAAATGAAAAACAAATATATCCTTTAGACAGTTTGTCTAGTCTTTTCACCCTCTTCTGTGCATGCAAGACCCCTCTTACTATGGAGGAATCGCTTTGTTTAAAATCTCTAATTTAAATATTACCATCATATCATTAGGCCATACATATTCACTCTGTCAAGGGAGCAGTCAAAATTCTTAGTTCCAGAAGATGCTTTTTATTGCCCACAGGTATTATCACTGCCTTGCCTGGATTGAGTTTAGGCCAGCTGGTTTCTGCCCAATACCTTACCACGGCCAGATGCTAAGACAACAAGCAGACTGTAAGAGTTAGGCTGAGTGTATAACAGAATTGAGTGTCTTTAACATCAGTACATTAACACCAACTGCTTCAAAATCTTTCACAGCTGTCACATAAATGTCAGAAAAGAGAGGGGATGAGATGGACTCTTGGGATGTCTGTACAAAAAAAGGGCCTCCCAGAATGTGTGTATTCTCTGAATCCTTCTAGAATACTTCATTGTAATGCAATCCTATCAAGCAATGAAGGGGTGACAGTTCTTTTGTTGACCTCTCCTATTAGCAAGTTATGAGAAGAATACAAAGAGCTTTTAAATTAAATTTAATTGTCATTGATCCCTTCTGATTTGCTGTAACTTGTACAATTCATTACTCATTTTACTTAGGAGATGAAAGTGGTTCCTCAGGTCAGTGGAATCTGGGCTCCTCTGTAGTAAGCAAGGCAATCCAGGGTGTGGTTATATTTAGTTAACATATAAACTTTAGTTATTTAGATTTATGAAGTAAGAAGGGACTCCTATCTTACATGGTAGATTCCTCTGACAATAGTTTAAAAGCATGACTCAACATGTCAGAATGAATAACAATGCAAACACATTCAACGTTAGAGAACCATATAGCATAGTTTTTAAATAATTTCCCATGTTTCTTATGCATCAAATGAAAACAATTTTTCCTACTTCTGTGATCATATAAAAAGTTTGCAGAAGTGAAGGACAGCAGCTTTGGGTAAATAGAGTAATGGAATATCATATGCAAAGA